GAGCAGGCACAGCGCCCTTCCCGGGACAGCGGATTTCCCTCGGTGGCCACATTCCGTCCCCGTGGTTTGGTGCAGGTCGCTCTGACGTGCTCCCAGATCTGGTGGACCACAGAAGTCGGCATTGCCTTCTCCAGGCTGGAGGAAGGCTACGAGAACGCAATGAAGGATTACAACAAGAAGCAGGTTGGTGTCCCCCGGAGCTGTCCCGCGGCCCCGCTCTGCTCCGAAGGGGCCTGGGGGGTCACAGGGAGACGAGCAAAGTGCGATGTCATTTTTCTGTTGGTCATTTCTTTCCTTCCTCAGGTAACTCAGCTAAACGCACTGATTTCCCTGCTCGTGGGAAATCTGACTGCAGGAGACAGGATGAAGATCATGACACTCTGTACCATCGACGTCCACGCCCGGGACGTCGTGGCCAAAATGATCCTCGCGAAGGTATTCCTTACAGGAGGGCGTTTTCACCGCTTCCTCTCTTGGCACCTCTGAACACAGATTTCCTGCTATTTTATTACTTTCCAATATTTTTAAAGTATCCAAATTGGGTGAGAAAACCACTGGTGGGGTGTTAAGCGTGCGGGGAGCCGGGGAGGTGCCAGCGCGGCTGGGCCAGACTGGACCAGGCTGGGTCTGAGCAAAGCCAGAGACAGGAGCAGTTTTGCTGGTTCCTGCCACGCTTGCTGGGAGCTGCCAGCCTCGGCGCGGGGCTGTGCGCTACGGTCGGTGGGCGCGGGGCTGGGCTGCGCGGTGGGACGGTCCTCACCCACCCCAGCGTTGCACCGGGACCCGTTGGCGCGCTCTGCTCGGGTACGCAGGTAGCAAAGGGTCCCGGCGCGTGGGTGGGAGCTCGCCGTGCCAGTGGGCTGGGGTGAGCGTGCGGGGCCCTGCCCGCCCTCCACAGCCACCCGCTCCGCAGGTGGAGAGCGCCCAGGAGTTCACCTGGCAGTGCCAGCTCCGGCACCGCTGGGACGAGGGCAGGAGACACTGCTACGCCAACATCTGCGACGCTCAGCTCCGCTACGCCTACGAGTACCTGGGGAACACCCCCCATCACCCCACTGACGGATCGGTACGGGCTCGGGCCCCTGCACCTCCCGCTGCCTGTGCCAACAAGGTTGACTCCATGGCTGCACCGTGCCGCCGGCACCACTGGGCCGTCCTCATCCTCCCCTCCACAGGTGCTACATCACCCTGACGCAGTCCCTCCACCTCTTCATGGGGGGGGCCCCCGCCGGCCCTGCAGGCACCGGGAAGACAGAGACCACCAAGGACCTGGGCCGGGCAGTGGGCATGATGGTCTATGTCTTCAACTGCTCTGAGCAGATGGACTACAAGGTAGGGGCAGGGGAGCGGGACAGGGGCACGAGCCGTGGGGTGTCCACCAAGACAAGGGGGGACCCTCATTCGGGAGGCACCGCTGCAGCATGCACCCCCCGTGTTCAGCCACAGCGGCCATCGCTGATGCCCTGGAGCTGTTCCCTCCCCAGCTCGGCCGCTGGTGAGAAACATGTGGGTCCGGCAGCAGCTCCTGG